AAATATGCTGAGATTTAATAATAATGCTGGTTTAATAATACTTTGATAAAGCTATTAGAATTAAATAGGGAAACGTCAGTAAAAACAATATCGTTTTGTTTTTCATTCATTGAGAAATACAGAAACCTTTATTATAATATTCGATTGTGACTAGCAGTGGTACCGAGGATGCATGTTCTATGTAATTTTTGACTTCTCAGATGGATGCACCTTCATTAAGAAAGATAACCATGTTACCAATGAGATTGTCATCCGTTAACTTCAAACAAATAGTATGAAGATTCGACTCGAATAGTTTGCAAATCAAAACAAACAGGTCGCTTAAACTGACAATATGAAGTCACTTCAACAACTTGTCGGTGGCACATTGGTAGAATGCTCGCTAACGGTGCAAGTTGTTCGGGGTTTGTTCACTATCCAACGCAATTCTTTACCTCGCTAGACCAGTAATATGACTTGTAATGAGGGGAGGTTGGTCGTGAAGCTAGCAACCTCATCCCGTAAAACTAAAACATCACTCCTATCGAAACTTCAAGCCTCTAGCTTAAAGCTATATGTTCCACTCGGGGAACGTAAATAAATAAATTCAACAACTCAATTATCGAAATCACTTGGCCAACTTATTTTCTATCCACGTATACATTTTAGTGCATTTCCATTGAAGTTTCAACCTACTACTATTGTAACAACAGAAGACAAGAGCCAGGCAACAGTTCGTTTATTTACGAAATCAACACGTATTTATTTATTTATTTCCATGTACATTATTATAGCTTATTCAAGCAAGCAAACACAGTCTTCTGATTGGTTGTTTCTCACTTCAAGTTAATCTTGCATCTCTTTTTGGCTGTTTCTTGAATGTTAGGTCATCTATATGCTAATTATACCCACCTACGCAAAGTCTGCTGTGGTTGTTTGTTGAATCAGTCTTTGTTCTGACTTATCTCACGACCAATATTGAGGACGTAAACATTGACGTAAATGACTGTCTACCAATTTGGATAGCAGCCAACTCTCACCACACTATGAATATTTTACAGGAAATGTCAGTAAGACACTGTAGAGTCTCGGAGTAAGAGTCAGAAAGAACAATACTGCTTCAAATAACATGTTAGTTATTGTTTACAAAGATTAAAACTTGCTGAGAATTACTTTTTGTTTACAAACTGCGTGCGACTACTGCAACTACATCCACTACCAGTTATCTATTATTTCAGTAGTCTGACTCTATCAATCATAAACAGTATTGACCATTTTATATGTGACAGTTCATTCACAGTTTCTAATATCCTGTTATGCTTTTAACGATATGTCATGTATATTATTAGTTGTCGAATCTAAACAAGATCTTATCAAAGGTGATATATTTTTCTTTTTATACTGCCTATCAATTAAGCGTTAACCTGTCAACGATAACAGTTATTAGTAGTTGTTACCTGATGTGAAATCATGAAATAATACAAAACACTCTATTTGCTTGTTTAATTATCTTTGAATTGTGCGTGATAACTTTTATGATATAAAATTACTTTATGAAGGAAAATTAAGATCAGAAGGAGATAAGCAATTGTTACTGTTTATTACATTGAGGTGTCATCGAGCGTTAAAACAGTTAAAGAGAACAACAGAAGACAGATAAATAATGCGAAACTCTCTGCAATCGTTAATCAGTAATTGCAAGAGATTTTTCTCTTAGCATTTTAAGTAGAAAATTAAAGCGTTATAGTAATTAGGTGTTAATGCTTTTGAAATGTACAGAATTTGTGCTGCTACTATCATTTTTCCTATTAATGCGTTTGGAGAAATTTGTTCAAAAAACTGATAATACACAATAAAAAATAATTGAACTTAAAGAACCTGATACCATTCAACTCTAAGCCGTTGAAATCACAGTTATCATCTGTGTGAGATCTCATACCTGTCAAAATCATGACTGTTATTAGATGGTTGGAGGCCATCGAAAGCAATCCCCAGTCAGCAAGGCGTATCTGCAACTTTAAAGGAATGCATGTCCCTTCTGAGATTCGAACTCGCGTCACGCGGTGAGTACTACAATCAGAGACGTTACCACTGAGCTATTCGAACTCGTGATTGATCTCCTGTAGCACTGTATTGGATATTTTTAACTGGACATTAGTTAGTAACTAGTGTAATGTGTCTAGTTCTGTATTTGGTAAAGATTGGATCTCAGAAGGGACATGAGTTCCTTCACGGTTTCAAATACGCCTTGATGACGGGTGAGTGTCGACGAGCACGAAACCTAGATCAAGCGAGGCTCCCTGTTGGTTGCTTCAAACAATTCACAGTGCATCGTGACGGCCAGAAACCTAGCATGGTGGCCACATTGTAAAACTGACTGATTGAATTCAATACGCACCGAAAATAGGACTAGACACATTACACTAGTTACTGACTAGTGTCCAGTGAGAAAAGTCATGATCATTTAGATAGACGCATTACTGCTATAATAATTAAAATCCATTCACTCATAAAGACCGGCATTTGTTGGCTAAAAGTAGTATGCATATATTAATGTAGGATACAATTAAGCATACGTTTGAGTGATGCTTATCAAGAAATTCACCGTTGTAAATGATGTTTAGGAGGAGAGTGTTCGCTTTATCCGCAGCAGTAAGATTGTGTCGGTAATTCCTGTTTGCTAATATTTTTAATTGTTGGATTTATTATTATCATCTGAAATTCAAAAACGTCTCACATAATACGTTTATAGTAGCTGCTATGGAAAGACGATATATACAAACAAGCACCTGGTAATAGTCCTGTGGAAGCTTTGTGTGGAAATAATTCAATTCGAGAAATGAGTCAGTGATATACTGAAGAACACAAGTGAAAGATCTCCACTTCTTAAATATAAATAAACATGATCATATGAATGACAGAACGCAGAGAAGTTTGATTTCATGATCAGTGAACAATCATCCCCTCCATTGCTGGATAAGATTTAAGTAGCTCACGTTTTTTCAACTTTTAAGTAATGATTACATAGCAAAATCAGTTTGAGATTTTATCTGTGAATACCATTTCTCAAAAGTAGTTTTGAAGGTGGATGATTGATGGTAACCAGCAAGAAGTTAGTATCATTTCAAAATGCACAGTAATTGCTAGTCTTCTAGTTTGGTGGTCAGATTGCACAGTTTACTGTCAGAATCTAGTCACCACTAAGAAATAAATGACATTGAGACGGTGGCGACAAACCTGTAAGTACATATAACTCTGAAAGACCAAGGTGTTTCAAGACAATATATATTTACACTGAAAGTTAAATTTCCTGAAACAGTCAAATGCTAAATTTCGAATGAAAACAACCGGCTTATCGCTAAGTTGTTCAAAAGGAATAAAAGTGCAAGGGAACTAGTATTAGAATTTGCACGTCAGAATCGCTATGGTCCTTCTTCTGGTATCAACCCTCACAGGCATGTTTCACCACCTTTACAGACTCTCTGTGGTTCACTGATTCACTGATAGGATGTCTGCCAACCATTTATGTGTTCCAATGGTCAGTCTTCGGACGACGTATTTCTTACCCTCTCGAAGCCGGTACTAAGGACGGTAAGCGGAGAAGGTCATGTGTTAGGCTGGTAGCCCCCATCGGAATCTTCAAAGCCTTGTGTTCCGCCTGGAAGGTAAAGGAATTGAGAAAAGTATTCGGATATATATTTATTTTAATGAATTTGAACAGTCTAGCAACATGCCGTTTACGCTCAGTCTAAATTTACTTATCATCTGAATACTATAAGAGTTGTGAATAAAACCGAATATAAATTATTTTGCCTACTGTAAGTGAGTAGGTGTCATTTTTTATCCAACCACGGATGTCGAAGATAACATATCTTCACATGTTTGATTAGTTAACAGAAAGCTGTGCAAGATATACGATTTATAGGTGTTATACGATTAACACTACTATGATCAGGAAAAGAGGAAGACGAAAACGTGATGGAAGCACCTCGTATCAAAGTTAGCACCCATGCTAACCAGTTCTGTAGTCAAAGATACAACTTCTGAGTTATTCAACCTCAGATCTTGTTGCTTCCAACCACATAACGTTAGAAGTCATCGAATAGATAGTTTCTTCTATCCAACATTTTATTTTGGAAAATTTGTGTGCAGATTATTAGCAGAAACGAAATCTGAAAGAAATTCGATTTCGCCGTTCGATGGATATAATCAGTACAGTTTGCTTTTTTTCTGCACAGAACCAATGAAACCTACTGGGACTAAATAGATTATTTCTGCGATGTATATCAATCAAATCTTTTTTGCAAATACCACAGTAAATGTATTTGAATTACTAAGTTTCCTCTGACTGAGTCAACTGAACATGATTCAGCCTATTCCCCTTGCAACCACACTTTGTGAGTAATTTTCGTGAACTTTCATTTCAGTGTAGATTTCATCACAAGTCAACATCAGTTACAGAGAGCATTAAAAACCAGGGGGCACAGTGGATAGCTGTTTTGTCTTAAATTGGCTCTCTTTATCGGTGCTCACCGATAACCCCATCAGGAATTAAACCCGAGATAAAACTGGTTCACCAGGTGGATCAAAACCCTGTGATCCATAAGTTCAGGTTTTGTCTCAGATGGAGTCATGCGTGTGCACTGCCGAAGAATTCGGTGCTCCCTAGTTTTCAGTGACCTGTAACTGATGTTCATTCATAACTTAACATACACTGAAATTAATCCAAATTCCTACACAGTCTGTAGGAATCTAAAATACTTTCATTTGATTGGTTGACGATATGTTTATAAAGACACTTAAACTGAACCAACCAAATTAATCTAAACAAATAAGAATACAAATACATTTCCCACTTAAACAAAATATACATTTCATGTGATTTCTTTAGCACAGAAACATAATTGTGCTTTGTTTCTTTCCAACACATTTCCATTGATAAAAACAATAAGAAATAATTAAACATTGTTTTATTGTAAAACATAAATTTCATATATATCAAGATTAAAATCACCATCATCATGGAAAGAACATCAAAATTGTTAAATAATTTACGATTGAGACGATCAATATTTCATTCACAAATGCATAGACTAAAAATTATATCTATCATATTAAATGTTATATTAATATTTATTGGTTTAATTATATTTGGAGTGGTATTATCTGCTATTAGTTATCCAATGTGGTTGAAAATGTTCATTTCATTACAAAAAATTACAATAAGTTATGCTATCATTATATGGATTATATTATTTTCAATTGCTTCAATCACTTTAGGCATAATTGGAATATTTGCTATTCATCGTAAAGCAACATTGATTTTAGGATTACAAGTAAGTTGAATTGAGACTTTTACAAAGTATACTTGAATATAGTAAGAACGATAAGTGTTACTAGGATAATATGAGATCATTCTTTATCATTTTGAGAGTTCTCGAGCGTGTACAACGTAAAAATGTAAATTACATTGAACAATGAGGCATAGTTTTAACGCGATAACAACGAATACTTGATAGAAAATATAAGTAACATAAGTCTGGGATTCTATTGTGGGTAAAATTTATTTTGATAAAGTATCACAGTGTTAAACAGTAATATTTACTGATGACCACGTTTCGACCACAACTGATTGCTCCTCATTATCATATCACGGCACTTCTTACACAACTTTCTAACTTCGTTTATATAATTCCATCGCGTGACTTGATTGGTATGAGTAATGAATCATTCCTATTGCATGTGTTGGGTGTAGACTCGATGATAAAGAATTCAGTAGTCAGTCTATCTCTCTCCACCTACCTAAATTACATTTTAGAATTCTGACTGTATCCCACCGACTGTGTGATTGTGTGTTAATGCATGCAGGGAGTTTGCTGGTATTTGTTTCCCAAATTACTTATCTTCGTGGGATCAATCATTCTAGCTTTAGCTTAATTCTTATTTTCTTATAATCTCACTACCCCCCCCTTATACTAGTTTGACCCATGTAGTTGACCTCAGTCATTGCAAGGTATTTTTTTAAATTATATTATTTTGTCTAATTGGATGCGATCCTGATTCCTGCTTTATTAAGAATCATACGAAGGTTTCTCAATACTAAAGCTCAGCAATTGCACTGCATGCATTAATACACAACGACACAATAGGGTGGGATAGAGTCGAAATTTTAAAAAGTAATATAGGTAGATGGAGAGAGGGATTAATTAATGAATCCTTGATCATCGAGTCTACACCCAACACATGCAATAGGAATGACGCATCACTCATACTGGAAACATGCAAGTCAAGCGATTGAAAAGTAATAGGATTATATGAAAAAAGTTAGAAAGTTGTGTGAGTAGTGCCGTGATATGATTATGAGGAGCAATCAATTGTGGTCGAAACGTTATCAGTAAGTATTACTGTTTAACACTGTGAGATTTTATCAGAATAAATTCTACCCACAATGAGATTATACTCTATTACAGTGCACAAGTTCTATTCTTATATCAATATGTCTGGAATGACATATATTGTTAAATTATTAAGAGTTAACAGGACTGAGTATATACAGGATGATTAGACGAATATTGTTGAAATGAATTCACAGAGTTCAAAAATTCTTGGATAGAAACAAAGTTTAACCATTTATCAACACAATAGACTACGTAACGAGAGAAACTATGTTTCTTCCCTAAGTTTTTCGAACTCAGTGTGTTTAACTCTTAATAATTCAAAAATGTACATCATTCCTGACGTATATCACTTATAGCTGCCATCAATTACTCCTTGTCGTCGAGTAAAAGTATGTTCGAATGCATTTTTTTATTGCTGTCGTTGTAGCTGGCCTAAAAAAAACCTTAAAATGATAAAGAATGAGCTTATATTATCCTGGTAAATTTGTCTTTCTTGCTTTGTTCAGTTTTCCTGTTGGGAAGAGTTGTATGGAGTTTTCATCCTATAGCTGAACTGTTTCACCTAGTTACTGTTGTGTAAATTAGGATTTTGGGAGATGTGGAGTATCGGTACAACGATAGATAATAAATTTGAGGGTGTTCAACGATAATTTAAAAAAATTAACTGACACCTTTCTCCGTGTATTTTGTTCATTAACTAATAAAGCCTTTAAAAAGAAAATGTAGTCTGATTAAGAAAACACTCTTAAGACATAATGTAATATCTTCAGTTGGCTAATAATCATGAAAATAGAACACTGTATGTTTATAGAACAATAAGGTCGAAACTTAATTCAAGTTCATTTGTTGCTACAAGAATATGCAAGTTAAAAAATCAAGATTTTTAGAATTTTACCCATCTTCTGTTGGAGGTTTAAAGGTAAAATTTTCTCCAACTACGTCTGTGGTCTACTGTTTGATTCGTGGCCGTCGTACTCCCAAATCTCGCCTAGTATACTAGCTAGTTGTAAGCTGAGAGAAAGATAAAAATGGGATGTGAGACTGCCAACCACACTCTGTAGAAACAATACCTCTGATACTGAAATCTGATAGTTTCAGGCCGTATGTTCCACTCGGAACTCAAAGGAATGCAAAAAGTACGAGAATGATGTATGAGTTTCAGCCATATAACATAATTAAAAAATGAATTACTAACTAATCTCATATATAAACTCAGACCTACATTACTTTTCTTAACTGAAAATTAGATGTTCAGCGTAATATTGAAATCCAAGGTTGTTTTGTCCTTTTCTTGATAACTGATAAAACAATCTACTTGCTGAATGTCATTTAACTAGGCATCAAATCATTTCCCAGATTTTCTGGTGAAATAATTCAAAAGTTTCGCACAGAGGTCGCGTGCTCACCTAGTACCCAGTTGAAAGGGTGCAGGGGTAAAGTTTTGACCTAAGGACTTAATAATAGATGAGTAATTGAAGACTGCAGGTAATTAGTTTTATTTTTCAGGCAGTGGCAGTTTATTTATTTGAATTTTAGATTTTCTTTTTTTTGATTTACAGCTTGATTCCACACTGTATTTTTGGTACAAGTATGGAATTTTCAGCATGGATATCGGTAGCCCAAATTTTGCAGGCCGACCATAGATATCAAGTGTGCGTCAGCAGGGGATCAAACCTCGGACCGTGTGCATGGTCGGCAGGAGTCCTAACCACTGTGCTACCCACGCACAACTGATTGGACCGAAGTGCTCGGTCTGAGGTTGACATGTTGGCTTCTTGTGCAGATGCATCGACGATATCTGGGCATTAAGTTAGTATTTAATTGGTGGATGGTGACTAGCAGTGGAATCTAGGATGTGCACTTCATCCTATTTGGGACTCGTCAGCTGGATGTACCTACATTTCTCAGTAAGTGATGACATTCCCACCGAGGCTCGAACATGAGTGGTTTAGTGGATAACGCTTTGGCGTCTGAAACTAGGGGCACTGGGTTCGAGCCTCGGTTAGGATATCATCACTCACTCAATGTAGGTACATCCTGCTGACGAGTCCCAAATAAGACGAAATGTGCATCCTTGATTCCACTGCTAGTCACCATCCACCAATTAAAGTGGCAGTTCATGTTCAAAATCTCAGACGCAGTTATGTCATATATGGAGATATGCTGCGAACCACGATTTGGGTTTTTGTCAAGTTTAGTAGAAACTTGCGTATCAACAGGTTACAAACATCTGTAATACTCGTGAAAATAGAAGACATCACTATAGGTCATATTTAAACAGATTAAAACAAATTAAGCTAGAGAAACTATATGCGATGCGATAATGAAGTATTTTGGTAGATCAGGTTTCAAATAGGCCACCTGTTACATGAAAATTAAGAAATTCCATGAAAGACAATCACTATTTTGAAAATTATGTGACAAGATGGCTTAAATAGCTCAGATACTATTTTTCTTTATTTTTCAATCCATTTCTGATTCCGCCTTTTTGAAGTTGTCGGAATTTTGAATCACACATTTTTTTCTCAGTAGTTTGTTTCTCATCATGTTGATAATCTAGGCTTCAGGATCATTATCTCTGTGTAGTTTGAAACCAGCTGAAAAATGCAGTTTGAAGTTTTTGAAGTTACACTACCAATATAATGCAATGAACGACTGCTTTCATTTGTTACAACTAAGGTGTCGAATTATATCGGCTAAAGGGAATTGTGGAGCCCATAAAACAAAAAAAAATAATTTATTTAATACTCTGCGATGACTGTCAGGTCAAATACGCAGTTCAGAGCAGTAGGACGGAGTCAGTCAGACTACAAGAGCACAAAACCCTGGCAAAATCTAGATTAATTCACCCCATTACGATGAGAAATCTAAAAAATATCTCAACCATAGCACTACCCGCAATTACGCACAACCCTGCAATAGTATGGAGTAAGACGACAGTCTTAAAATCTAGCATAACAGGGTGGAGAGACAGATTGACGGCAAAAGCATTATTTATCGCATCAGCTGAAAACATATGCAATAGGAATGATTCAACACTTGCCCCAGACATCCGGAAAATAGAACCAAGATAGCTGAGGAGATAAATATATTCCGCATCAAGTGCTAAACATTCAGATGCATTCAAATCGACTGGTGCTCTGTGGAAATACGTAGCTATTCAAAAGCATCTTTCACAATGCACACTGATAAATAGATGCCAGTCACCATTCATAACAGTATAGTAAAAATCAGCTGTTTCAGATCAACACTTACTTGAAAGACATCAGTGGAAGTCATTTCAATTAATGGTTACTGAAATCAACCCGATGATTTCAGTGGATATTTCTCACTACTATAAACTATAACCGGATAAAATTATTTAAGAGCTTTTCCTTAGCTGGAAGTTTCTTCTTTTTTGATGCAAAATTACCTTTCAAGTTTATATACGCTCAGGTTGAAGACTGAGATATTAAATTTGGTTTGGACACTAGTTAATGACTAGTCTAGTGCGTCTAGTTCTTTCTTCTGTGTGGATCCAAGGCCTCCTGCCGATTGCCTCCAACCACTTAATATCAAGAGACATTACGCCTCTAGGTAGAAGTTATCCGTGAACTAATCCGAACATAAGTGTTGATCGACAACTTGATGGAACTTAACATCAACAGTATAAGTGCACAAATATCCTTAGTATAGCAAGACAATATGCATTCTACTACTAATACTTACAAGTTATATATATATATATATATATATATATATATATATATATAGTCTTCATACTTTGGTGATTAACTGGTATATAATTCATTCTTAAAAGCGGTGAAGAAACAAATAGGTACAAGTTAAAGCACAGAATGAAATAATTCATTATTTAAATTAAATCTAGTCAACATAAGAAACATTTATTACTGCAAACTAAAGTGGGTTAAGGTCAAATTTATTAAGGTTAGAAAGTA